GTTTATCTTTTTAAAATTACATTTATTAGCTGGGCGTGGTGGCACATGCCTTTAAGTCCAGCACTCAGGAGGCAGAGGCAGGCAAACCTCTGAGAGACTGAGGTCAGCCTGGTCTACATAGTGAGTTCCAGGCCAGCTGGGGCTGCAGGGAGACCCTGTCTCAAGAAGACAAAAAAAAAATTTATTGATTTATTTGTGTATGTGTGTATGTTTGTGTGTGTATGGCACACATGTGACACAGCATATACATGGAGGTCGGTGGACAATTTATGGGAGTCGGTTTTCTCCTTCTACCATGTTGGTCCCAGGAATTGAACTCAGGTCATCAGCGTTGGCAACAAGTACCTTTACCCACTGAGTCTTCTCACTGGCCCTCATGCCCTGTATCTCGAGTTATTTCTAGTGACCTTGGATGTGGGAAATGTATAATATGTGAAAGGCACATTCATCTTCATAATTCTAAGAAGCTGGGAGAAGGCAGGATGTCTACTTATGACTGCTTCTCCAGACAAAAGGAAGGAGAAAAGAGTTGAGTCCAAGATTTGGCAAGGCACAGGGTCTGTGTCAAGAACACAGGCTTGAGAGAGACACTGAGGATGAGTAGCCCAGGAAGCTGAAGTGGCTGGACCTTCTCAGTATGAAACCCTTGCGTGATCTTGTCAGCCATGACATGGAGGAAAAGCTGAGTGAAACACATTTAGTTCTGCAATCTTTCCAAGAGCTTCAGCCAGCAAAAATGGGCAGAGCCCCAAAAGAGGAAAGGTGGTTAGGTTGTGAGTTTGTTGAGATGATACAGGTTCTGAATTCTTAACAAATGATGGAATCAGGGGTGTGATCCAATTTGTTGGGCTCCTCAGAGATCCATGGGACAGTGATATCCACATTATTTCTTAGTCACAAACGGCTTATGCTTGGTTAACTCAACAGCTACAAAGAAACAGATCCAGACAATGACTTTGCTTCTGGCATGAAATGACCAAGGCTATGAAGTTGGTGGAGTAATTTTGGAAAAAGTTGGCTTTGGATGCTCAGATAAGGTATTTTGGCAGTTGCTCAGAATGAACTTGGTCAGTTAATTAAGCAGCTGTTGTCTGTATATGAATGAGTGGACATATGCTAATGCGCTGCTGTCTGCATATGAATGAGTGAACATATGCTGATGGCCACGTCTATTTGGAAAAGGTCAGTAAGTTGGAGAGTGGTAGACAGAGAGAGACATTTGAAACGCCGTATCAGTTAATTGGTGCCAGCAGTTACTGTCATAAAAAAACTACACAGAATTTACTCAGAATACCTGGCTCCTTTTTTAGTAACATTAATCTTCCTTTGGTATTTGAATTATTCTGCCAATAATGAAACAGAAAATAGGCAGCTTGTCTTGAAGCCTTCTTATAAATGGAGAATGAGTTCATACTTGTAGTTTTTTGCAGCAGAGGTAATTAGAAGGCTTTGTGAGAGACTCCTTTGTACCTTTAATATTCTTTGCTCAGGAAAACTTGAGAAAAACCTGATTCTGCTTGGATTTGAAGTGCCTTTTATCCCTTCATTAAGTGATGCTAGATTAAAAATATATGTTAAGAATTAGATATCCTGGGGCTGGAGAGATGGCTCAGCAGTTAAGAACCCGGGTTCGAATCTCAGCATCCACATGGCAGCTAACAACTCTCTGTAACTCCAGTCCCAGGGGATCGGACAGCCTCTTCTGACCTCCATGGGCACTGCATGACACAGGTGCACTTACCTACATTCAGGCAATACACACATACACATAAAAATAAAAAAATAAAAAAAATAATTAGATATCCTTTACCAGTTTTCTGTAGGAAAAGTAAAAATAATATAGAACGGTAAAGGACAAAGTGAAAAACATTCCAAGGAAAGTTTGAGATTTGGAGATGCATTTTATTTGTTTTTAAGACTGAATACTTTTGAATTTCTCCACTACTTTTGGAAATTTGTGTTATATAGAATTAATGCTTTTGAAAATTTGACTTAGGTACTTACACGATATCTTCTTGGTCACTGTTTCCTGGAGGTGCTAAGTCCCAGGGGGCCCTGCCACACCTGATGCCACCCTTATTAAGAAGTGCAGGGCAGGAGAAGGTGCTTAGTGTCAGAGGGGGAGGCAGCCAGTTCTGGTACTCACTTTACCTTAGCAACTTACCCTGATAGAATGCATGCAGAAGCAAACTTTTAAATAACCTGTGTGCTCTATTTCAGTATGATCCAATCATCTTCAAAAACATTCACCCCTTATAATAGCAATGGTGGCAGATTCTGAGGAAAGGACCCGGGGACAGTGTCATTGTGTATCCTCTTTAATAACGGTGCTTTTCTCTGTCTCTCTGTCTTTCTTTGTCTCTGTCTCTGTCTCTCTGTCTCTCTGTCTCTCTCTCTCTCCCCCACTCTTTCTCCTCTCCCTCTCCCTCTCTCTCTCTCCCTGTCCCTCTCCCTCTCCCTCTCCCTCTCTCTCTTAACTTTTTAAAGAGAACACTGAAAGAAGACTGATTCCTCTTAGAAGTACACACTCCCATTTCCTCACGAGTCTGGCCCTTCCTACCCTGCCCAGCCTCCTCGCTCCTCCTGCCTCAGTTTCCTTTGCTACTGAGGAAAAACACTTTCTGAATTCATTGGATTTCTTCCTCATCTCTCATTTAATGATTACTACAACTTTCACAAAAGTCACCAAATACTGTCACTGTGAAATGCAGTAACTTCCTTTGAAGTTTCACCTTTCTGTGTCCCTGGAGACTTGAGCTGTCTCTTCCCAGCTTCTCAGACACCTTTGTCTTCTGGTTCATTTTGACCCACTTGCCCCACCTCACAAGCACCTTCCTGTAACTCACCTTTAGCCATCTGTCCTGTGTTTTTAAATTTAAATTTTTTTTTTATGTGTATGAGTGTATTGCCATGTGTGTAAGTGCACCCATGTCGTGCAATGCCTGCAGAGGTCAGAAGTGGGCAACAAATCCCCTGGAACTGAAGTTACAAACAGTTGTTAGCTACTATGAGGGTGCTGGGACTTGAACCCAGATCCTCTGCAAGAGCAGTCAGTGCTCCTAACCCGGAGCCATCTCTCCAGCCCCTGTCTTCCCTCTCTCATATACTCTTAGGGGAGAGTGCTTTTGCTGGTAGCCATGAGCTGTCTTCTGAGGGTGGGACCTGCATGCTGATCTGCCCGCTTTGCATTCTGTGGATACTGCAGCATGATGTCTTAGCCAGTCTTATTATTCATTCTGTCACCACCCAAAGCCCTAGTTTTTCCCATTTGCTATCTGTCAATAATTAGTAGCACCACCCCCCCAAACCCTAAAACAAATAAATAGAAAAACCCCACAAAACCCTGAGAATCACCCTAAATTAGATTTTGGAACTAGCCTTGCTTTAATGTGAACTTGTGGCTGTGCTTCTGTCCATCCCACATTTTACAAATACACTCCTAAGTTAGGCAGCGTCAGACCAGTTGGGCCTGGGAGGAATTTCATATATATAAATGTGAAATTCCTTGTCAAAAGGGTGGACAACTCATTTCAGTTATTCTTATTCACTGCCAATGTTTATAAGTCGATAGTATACTCATTTCAGGGAATTTCTATGTTTGATACTGGAGTTTGGTTTTTCAATTTGAAGCTAAATTAGCAACACAGAGCTTCATTGAACTTGTGGCTCTCATTCTCTTCTGCTTAGTTTTCTACTTAGTCACTCATAATAATATTTTGAAAAAAATTAGAATCACCCTTAATGTGTTCTTTGTTTCTTTTTAATTTTTTTTATTTTTATTTTTATTGTCTTTTTGAGACAGGGTCTTCCTGTGGCCCTATCTGTCCTGGAACTCACTATGTAGACCAGGCTGGCCTTGAACTCACAGAGATCCACCTGCCTCTGCCTCCCAAGTGCTGGGACTAAAGGTGTGCGCTACCATGCTCGGCTTCTTTTTTAATATTTTATTTATTATTTTTATTTTATGTGTATGAGTATATTGCCTCCATGTATATAAGTGCACCCATGTCGTGCAGTGCCCACAGAGGCCAGGAGAAGGCATTGGCTCCTCTGGTACTGGTGTTAAGGAGGGTTATTAGTCACCATGCGGATGCTGAGAACCAAACTGGGTTCTCTGCAAGAGCAGCCAGTGCTTTTAACGACTGACCCAACGTTCCAGCCCCTGTTCTTAGTTTCTTATGTATTAAATGTGTTAGAGAATCAAATAACTACTAGATTCATATATTGTGTATTTATTACATGGCAGAATGTCTATGATATAATTTTATTTTATCCACCCAGTAGCTTGATGCAGTGGAGGCTACTCCTCCCAGAAGTTCTTCCTGAGACTCTTGAGACACAGTTTAAGTGTGACCTCTACATCTCTGAAAGTAAGAGAGTTAGGGCTATATTTATGGACATCTCTGGTTTTCTTAGGAGCTGAATTCCACAGTCAGTATTTTGTGTGTATTAGTGACCCCCTATGATTGGTAATCTTGCAGGCCTCCTGTGCCATTGCCTGACTTATCCATAGTCATGACATAATATAGAAGGAGATAATAAAGGTGACTGCAATAAGATTTAAATAGGATTTATGGGGACTGGAGAGATGGCTCAATGGTTAAGAGCACTGGCTTCTCTTGCAGAAGACTCAGGTTTGAATCCCAGCACCCACGTGGCAGCTAACAACCATCTGTAACTCCAGGTTCAGGGGATCTGACACCCTCTTCTGACCTCTGAGGGTATTGTACAACATGAGGTGCACTTACATGCATGCAGGCAGTTGACTCATACACATAAAATAAAATAAAAATAATAAAATAGATAGGATTTATGTTTTATAATTTTAGTCAGTGAAAAGTAATTTTTAATGTAACCTTCCAAGGATAAGTTACCAAGAAATAATTATTTTTCTATTTTCTATGAGATTCTCTCTGTTTATCTGAATTTCTGCTACCTAAGTGTTGCCATCTGAAGAGTGTTATGGTCAGTAATTGGTATTCTCTCCCTGTCTCTTGCAGTGTAATGAAACTTCATTTTTTTTCGAAGCTCGGAGTAAAACTGTTTGCAAGCACCTTTGGAAGTGCAGTGTAGAGCATCACACATTTTTTAGGTATGTTAATGGAAGGTTTTCCACTGTTCTAATAAGTGAAAATAGCATTGTTTTTCATAACAAGCATTCTGTTCTGTTTACAAATTTAGAAATATTCCTGTAATTTGTTCAGCTCTTAATTTTCTGGACACATTGATGCATATATATATATATGCACACACATATATTTGTGTGTGTGTGCATACATGTGTTCAGATAGATCTACTTTGTCCATTCTATAATAAAGAACCAGGGATAAATATATTTAAAGTTTAAAGTTTGTGTAAACAGTAAAGGCTTAGCTAGCATTTATGTGATGTGGATATGCAGTGTTTTGCTGTGAATGCACTACATTTGCAATGCCTATGAGTTATCTAAGTGGAGATGTGGTTGGGTGGACAGGGCTTGCTGAAGGTTGTTGATATAATGTGAATAGATGCTCAAGACAGAAGGGGCCAGGTGAGGTCACCAAGGAGAAGATGAAGAGAGAGAAGAAAAAATGAAGCTGAGCTGGACCCTCCCTGCATTTGGAGGATGGAAAGAGCCATTTGAGAGCAGGAGAGAGAGCAGCCAGGAGAGGGTGTCATGTACCAGGAAAGGAGGTAGATGCCAGCAAGTACATGCTGTGGTCCTGGGAGTCAGATAAGATCCTGACTGAGAATGGGCTGTTGGATCATTGGATTGTGGGCACACTTTTTGTTTTATTTTGTTAGACACTAAATAGCCTTCGCTGGCCTGGAACTCACTATGTAGCTCAGGCTGGGATAGGATATTTGGGCCTCTGCCTCTGCCTCTGCCTCTGCCTCCCATGTACTGGGATTACAGGCATGTGTTACTACACTCAGCTCTGTGGACATATTTTCTGCATTATTGTACTTCATTGTTTCATGTCCCTGTGTTGTAAGGTAAAACAAAAACTGAGCTGGTAACACATTGTTTATTAAATCAAGATTGAATTCTCCGCCTTATTCTTATACTATTATTGTGGATCACTTTCTTTGGTCTTGGAGTATTCTCACAAAATGACCTGTATCATCCTTTGTACAGTTTGTATTAGGGGAGGGAAGAAACTCAGAAAGCCCAAGGCTTTGCTTCCAGTTCAGTGGGAGCCCAGGAGCTCCCCATGATGTTGTCTGTTGAAGGACCTAGAAATGAGAAGTGTTGGGATATATTGTACAAGAAAGAGTAAACGCCCACATCTGCTGTGACTAGCTGCCATGAAACCTGCACATGAGGAAATTAGCACAGTGACAGAATTCCTAAGATGTTTAAGCATAGAAGATAAATTGAATGACAGCTAAAACTTCCTAGAAAAATAGTATATATAATATTTTTCAGAAAGCATGAGTGTTTGATATTTACATATACAACATCCCAAGGTATAGCTGTTTTCAAATTTGGCTTGAAATAGCTGATTATTGGACTGGAGAGATGGTTCATGGGTTAAGAGAACTTGCTTCTCATGGGACTGAAGAGATGGCTCAGCAGTTAAGAACACTGACTGTTCTTGCAGAAGATCCAGGTTCGAGTCCCAGCACCCACATGGCAGCCAACAACTGTCTGTAACTCCAGTTCCAGGGGATCTGACAGCCTCTTCTGTCCTCCTTGGGCACTGCATGACATGGCTACACTTTCGGACATGCAGGCATAACACTCATATACATAAAATAAAAAACAATAAATGAAATACTTAAAAAAAAAAAAAAAAAAAGAAGTTGCTTCTCTAGTAGAGAACCTGAGTTCAGTTCCTAGCATCTATGTCAGGTGGTTACTCCAGCTCCAGGGAATCCAACACCTTCTTCTGCCCTCCGTGGGCACCTGCACTCATGTTGCACATACCTACATAGACAAACACATGTATATGTGATTAAAAATAAAATCATTTTTAAATGCCTGATTATTTTCTGTCAATGTAAAGAGTAAAATATTTTGACTAGCTCTGTTAAATAGCATTGCATTATTATGTTTTCTATATAGTTTTATGCTTAAATGTTGTACAGGTATCTGTGTTTATGAGTCTTTGGTTTCCTTTTTAAAAATTAATTAGAATGCCAGAAACAGAATCAAATTCATTGTCACGGAAACTCAGCAAGTTCGGATCTGTAAGTTATAAACACCGGTACAGGTAAATGAATTTTTTTCCTTGGGGTTTGTGCGTGTAAATAAATATTTAATTCAACTGCCCACATGTATGTACAATGTATGTACAATGGCGTATATGGCTTTTTCTTTTTTTCCTCTGCAGTGCCAATGCATTTTATAACTAAATATGTCTAGACATAAATTATTTTCCAGTTTTAACTATATTTAGTATCTCCATTCAATATATAAAGTTAAGGACTTTTAGAACACAGAATTTATTATAGTCAGGATTGCATTTTGATACAATTATCAGTTATTTCCTATTCTGATCTGTGATTATGAAACAAATCAGATCTTCTGGATAGTAGCTGACTGGTGGTATTCTTAGAAGATTCAGTTGATCCCATATTGAACACAATGTGTATTTTACATTCCATGTTAAAATGATTTTTATATACAAAACTACTATATGCATAAAGCCTGCTTCTAGTAGGCTAATTATATTTTCAATTTACCGAGAACTCCAGTGCCTCGATGGCTCAACATTCTCCATTGTTTCATTTGAGCAGCAAGGTCTTCTGTCATATCATCCATGTTAGCTTATGAGGAAACTGAGACTCAGAGAAGCCAGGGACTGGTCAAGATCACCCAGCTAGGAAGCAGTCAAGTGCCTCTGTTTTGAACCATTAGATTTTATCCTGTAGAGAGAAGCTTGACCACCATGCCACTGGGCAGGTGCTAGAGTCTTTTTTTTTTTTTTTTTTTATAATACCAGGATTAAAAGTGGGAATGAGAGCCAGGCGTGGTGGTGCACGCCTTTAATCCCAACACTCAGGAGGCAGAGGCAGGTGGATCTCTGTGAGTTCAAGGCCAGCCTGGTCTACATAGTAAGTTCCAGGACAGCTAGGGCTACAGGGAGACCCTGTCTCAAAAAGCCAAAAAAAAAAAAAAAAGGGGGAATGGGGGGGCGGGGCTGGAGAGATGGCTCAGCAGTTAATAGCACTGGCTGTTCTTGCAGAGAACCCGGTTTGGGTTCGATTCCCAGCACCCACATGGTGGCTAACAAATGTCCTAACTCCAGTTCCAGGGACTCCAGCACCCTCTTCTGACCTCCTCAGGCATTGCATGACACGGGTGTACTTACACGCATGCAGGCAATACATTCACACACACAAAACATAAAAATTTTTAAAAAGTGGGAATGAGGGGCTGGAGAGATGGCTCAGTGGTTAAGAACACTGACTGTTCTTGCAGAGGACCCAGGTTCGAATCCCAGCACCCAAATGGCAGCTAACAACTGTCTGTAACTCCAGTTCCAGGGGATCCAACAGCCTCTTCTGTCCTCCGCCAGCATTGCACGACATGGGTGCACTTACCTACATGCAGGCAATACACACATACACATAAAAAGAATAAATTTTTTTTTTTAAAAAGTGGGAATGAGTACATTTTGAAAAAAAAAAAAATTGTTTTATTTCAATTCCTTCTGTTAAGTAGGGATCTGTGATGTACAAGGTGTGTGGTTAGGACCCCAGAGATACAATGAGTCAGATCTAAATCACCCTGCTTTCTAAGAAATGGAGTGTCATCTAGACTGAGAAGCAGGTCCCCAGGCCTTATAAAACCAAGCAGGGTGCAGAAATGCCACCCAAGAGATAGGACACTATTTTATCAGTTGATTAGAGACATTCCTGTATGAAGTCTTAAATTTGAGACAAAAGACAATGAGAATGAGTAATAGTAGATATTCAGTGTGTTCCTCTGTCTATGCTATTCAGTTAATATTTGATGACTTAAAAAAAAGAGTTAAATGTTACTTATTATAGGTATTTTTTATTTTATATGAAGGTTTTTATTGATACTTACATATTTAGCCTTCAGGTTTTCAGGGTTCCTCCTTAGACTATGATATAAGTATGAGGAATTTAAGGAAAGATACTTTTATTCTGAGAAGAACACGTAAGAGCCAATATTTGTACTCTTCTTCAAATTATAGTATTGCCAAGGCTAGAGAGAAAATACTTAAATCTGTGTCCTTGTCACTGGACTGCACCTGGCACAAAGGCATCTGTCATAGTGTTTAGAATATTAAAATTATAATCATGCTAATTAACGTATGCTGTAGTTAGTTGGCTTTTGCAAATGTAGCCATACCTGATTTCTCAAATTTATTGAAATGCAAATAGTGTAGCTACTGGGACTTGTTATTAGAACTTATTTTTATTGGATTTTGCATATTAAGTATCTTTTTTTTTCTCAGAAAGTAATTAAAGGTAACTTTTGTAGGATTGGAGGCTCTGCTAAATCTGTTCTAATTTCATAGTTAATGTTAGCTGCCTAATAAATCTTGGTGAAACTGAATCTATGTATCTGTTTGTAAGAAGCACTAACCTCATACCACCTGTGGGAGTGAGGCATTTCATCTCTCTGGTCAGAGATCAGGCAGGATGGGCCTCCGATTGCTGGTGCTCACTAATGCAGATTCTTTACTGACAAAAACTGACAAATTACCAGCCTTTAACCTCTATCACATGCCTGCCCCTTTGTTGAAATAATCTATAGATATGCTGGAATGAAAGCAGAGCTCTGGAATACATAGTCCCCATAGTCCCCTCCTTGTAGGCTGTGAGAGTAGTTGGGGTGGGAGAAGAACTGTGTCCCATGGCTGCAGTGTGTGAATGTGAATGTCTGTGTATATGAGTGTGCCTGTTTACAGTGGTGTGTGTGTGTGTGTGTGTGTGTGTGTGTGTTTAGAGTGGTGTGTGTACCTGTTTAGAGTGATGTGTGCACCTGTTTAGAGTGGTGCACCTGCTTAGAGTGGAATGCATGTGTTGTGTATGTGGTGGAGGAAGACAAGATTTCTGGCCTCTGCTCTCTTCTCTCTGCAAAATGCCAGAATGATTCTTGAACATTTTGGGAAATGAGTTGTGAGTTGAGAAGGGAAAAAAATCAGATATTTTAAATGATAATGGATAATCGGATTTCAAAATTAAATTGAGGAAAAGGCTGAACTGAAATCTGGTATTTTAATTCTGTTTGTTTTGCGGGACCAATAATCTGAAATGGAGACTGATTAAATCTTTGATTAAATATTTTGTTACATATTGGTATCTCCATCTTGGAGCTCCTTAAAAATTAGCCTTCCCCCTTAACTGTTGTTAAGCTTATTGTGTGGAATTCATGCCCGAGAAGCAGGCCTCCTCCCTGCAGAATGAAATCACAGTAGTGCTCAGATTTCATGAAGTGTGGAAGAGAGACTTGGTTCTCAAGAGAACCTCCTTGTGTCGGGTGCTTTCACGTGTGCTGCTTTATTTGATCTGCACAGTGGCCCACCAAAGGAAGCATCGGGTCCCCAATTATAGGGTAGAAATTGGAGCCCTCCCCGAGTAAAGTAATTAAGCTAAGAACCCTTGAACAGCAAATCTGCTATCTGAAGCCAGGCATCTCTGTCTTGTTCTTTCCCTCTCCCTTGCTTTGATGCTGAAGGGCTGCTGGCTTTGCCACTCAAAATGGAGAGGATGCCTGTGCCAGGGTGTGAGGAGGCAGGGAAGCAGGGCATCATGGAAGTAGAGCTCTTTCTTCTCTCAGCAGAGAGCCACCAGACCTGAAGGACTCCTGTTACACACTGCTGGCTTCTCTACACCCTTCACTTTATACCACCGGGAAATACACACTCTAAGAATTAGTGCAGTGTGGTATTAATGAGGAGAAGGAGACTGTGGAGATTTTAGAAAATAACCCGAAGACCACATCGTTAGGGAAAGGCAGAGCTGAGTTTTTCACAGGTCTTAGAATTTCAAACTAAATGGTTAAGTGTGCCATTCCCTCCTCCATGCAAACAGACTGATGTATTCTGACCAGACGGGGGTCAGAAATGTGCTCTAGGCCTGGGTCCTGTACAACCTGTAGCAGATTAGTTTATGCTTTTGGACCTTAGTCTTTAATCTTGTGATATGATTTTCTCATTACTTATTTGTTCCCGAGAGAGAAACCATGAAGAAAAATTGAATAATAAAGTACAATCTCATTATAAAATATCTCTCAGTGGTCTGCAGCTTGGGTTGTGTTTTTATGGCTCTGTGAAGTGAGGTACACAGTATCCAAGTCTTTTCAATATCAGAGTTGATAGTGTGATATCAGTAAATCTCATCTTCATGCTCCAAACCATATATAAGTATGGAATTTTGTCTTCCTGTGGAATTGTTTAAGCTTTTAAGAAATTTGTTACCTTATGTATCTTTGAAAAAATAGTTGTTTCAAGTGAAAGAAAAACCTATCACAGCTTGTTCCCCTCCTCCACAACTCCCACCAACCACTGGGCATGAAGCATGATTGCCGTGGAAAGTGGGCCTTAGTTTTCTCAGTAGTTCATTCTCAGCAGTACCCCGGGTTGACCTGATGAGAACTTGTTATTTATGACTGTTGCAGGAACTTTTATTTTCAATGAAAGTGGATGATAAGGAGGGGAAACAGGCTCAGAAGCACATAAGAGATGAATTTCCTGTGTAAATATTTTTTAGTTTGTTTTGGAGAGATATTCACTAATATTTATAGGATCTATAGGATTCACCAACATTTAGGTCAATAGAGTTTGAGACTATTAAAAGACTTTCCTTCCCCCAACCACGGATGGCTCTAATTGTAGTGAATAGAGCTAGACATATAGAAATACATTTTTCTTGTACCTAAATCATATTTTCTTAAATGAAATCCAACAAATTCTTTTTTTAATTTTAAAGTTTTTATTTATTATTTTTATTTTATGTGTATGCACATATTACCTGCTGGGATTTGAACCTAGGTCTTCTGCAAGAACAATCAGTGTTCTTAACTGCTGAGCCATCTCTCCAGTCCCAGAAATCCAACAAATCCTATAGTTACAGAATACATTCTCAGTAAGAAGAGTGGTCACTGAAATCTAGCAAGTGAAAATTTATGATTCCTTTGGGAAATTTGTTGAGAAGGTTAGCCCCTCTGTGTGTGTGTGTGTGTGTGTGTGTGTGTGTGTGTGTGTGTGTGTCTGTGTGTCTGTGTGTGTTTGTGTGCATGCAGGCATGGTTGTATGGTTGTTGTTGAGTTCTTTATAGTTTTGAGAAATGAGGTAGTTTATCAGGGAGAGCTGCAGAGGAGCTTAGAGGCATGCCAGACCTCCCCTGTGGCCTGGCTTTCAGAGGGCAAGGGAGAAAAGAGGGAAGCGAGGTCTGTCATGACTTTGTGTGGGTCATTAACATATTACCTGTCTCCCTTATGTTCCTATAACTTGGGCTTTTCCAAGCATGCTCCCTTAGCTGAATGGCACTCAGGTGAAGCCTGAGTGGTTTTTAGCAGCTTTTCAGCACTGTGACAAAATATCTAAGAGAAATACACTGAAAGGAGGAAAGGTTGATTTTGGTTCATGGTTTTGGAGATGACAGTTGAAGGTTAGCTGGCTCCATTACCTTGTGCCCCAGGTGAGGCAGAGCTTCGTGGAGGTGAGATGTGCAGTGGAGGAGGGTGATCACCTTATGCTGGGGGGTCAGAGAAGAAGAGATAGATAGGCCTGGGACCAGATATGTATTACATATCTGCTCGAAAGGTACGCCTCAGTGACCTACTTCCTTCAACTAAGCCTCCACCTTCTAAAGGACCATTGGGTTATAAACTAATCAATGTTTAATCCATGGGTCACATTATCAGCTTCACAATCTCGTCGCCTCTCATTTATGCCACCAGCACTTCAACACATAAAACTTTTAGGGGGACATGTCCTATTTAAACCACAACACCAGGGAAGTTTGGTCTCCAAATCCTCACAAAATCTTCAGAGAGGAAGCTCCTTGTGTGAGCGTCTAGACCTGGCTTCATGGACACATGATGTGTTAGATGAGGGATATAATAATAAATAACTGCTTTTGCCAGGGCAGGGCTCGGAAGAAAATCACACTGGTATTGCAGGAGATGCCTTACAGCTTGTTTTGTGAGCACAGCATGGAGAGGCTTGTGGATTACTGCCCTTGGGTAATCCACCACCATGACTTCTCTGTGTTTAGCTAACAATAAAGAGCTCAAAGCCAGCAGTTGTTTTCATTTCTAGCCTGTCATTCTGCCCCAATATAAACCTAACTCTCCTTTTAGTAAATCTTCCCTTCTGGCCATTCCCTCAGCAAATTCTTTTTATCTAACATAAACTGCTACTTCCTTATTCATTATTATAAGGAAAATCGGCTAAAAATCTCTACATACTTATGGCCAGTTGAATCTGTGCATTTTTTCTTCTTTGCAGATGTTCTGACTAGGTTGTTGAAATTTCATGGTTGTATGGTTTTACTTTTGCTAATCAAAGTGTTGCATTTTTTTAAGTGGCAGGACAGCTTTGCAAATGAGCCGAGATCTTTCTATCCAGCTTCCCCGACCTGATCAGAATGTGGCAAGAAGCCGAAGCAAGACTTACCCTAAGAGAATAGCGCAAACACAGCCAGTTGGTAAGTAGTCATAGAACCCCGAGCCATCAACCTGGCATTTTCTTTTACACTGGTGTGTGAGCATGCTCAGGTGTTCACTACAGCCATGTCGTCTTTTTATTTTTAATTTTTTGTATATATCATGTGCTTGTGTAGAGGTGTATGTGTATGTGTGTGTTTGTTTGTGTGTGTGTGTGTGTGTGTGTGTGTGTGTGTGTGTGTAATGTGGATGCACACACGTACCATTGCTTGCATGTGGAGGTCAGGACAGCCTCACTTCCTACTTTGTTTGAGACCGGCCCTTATGTTGTGAGTATCTGCATATGGCAGGCTAGCTGACCCGGAGTCTCTGAGGATTCTTCTGCTTCTGCCTTCCATTTTGCTTTTTAGTTTGACCTTGAGAAGGTTCAAGCAATCAACTATCACTATTATAATTTTTTAGGAGAGTGTGTGTGTGTGTGTGTGTGTGTGTGTGTGAGACAGGGTCTCGTGTAGCCCAGGCTGGCCTCAACTATATAGATGAGGCTGGCCTTGACCTCCTGGTCTTCCTGCTCCTACTTCCCAAGTGCTGGGATTACAGGTGTGTACTACCACACTTGGCTAACAACCAGTAAGTCCTAATGAGCAAAGCAGTCACTGGAATGCCCATGACATCTGTAATGTTTATGTTTTCTTTGGGGAGGAGTTTTATTTAAGTAAAATTTTAACTGAGAAATTTCCAAGTTCAGTGTTTCTGAGAGTGAACCAAAACAATTTCTAACAAATTCTAAAAAGCAGTGCTGTTGGTATAACTTAATTGTATAGAATCTAGACGTTTTTAAATTGCTACTAGTCTTTCTTTTCATTATGAAACATAATGTGGAAAGTACATGAATGCATAGGCCTATACTCATATGATGTGATTATGGATCTCTATGTGCATATATGCACACATACGAAGTTTGTCTTAACTAGCAGCCCCAAAAGTCTGCAAGGGTGTTTCCATGTTCAAACTGTCATCATCTTGTCTCCCTAGTCAGAAGAAAGCCCTGTCTAAATCATGATAATGATTTATTTTTCATTGTAACTTTGCTATTTATATAGCCTTTCTCTAAGCAAGTTAGTTTATCCATTTTTAATGTTATACGAATAAATCATGGTATAGATTCTTTTGTGTCTTGATTCTTTTTATCAGCTTTTAAGCACTGGCATTAAAGGGCTTCCTAAGTATTCCAGTGTTTATTACTGTTAGTAGACATTGGGTTGTTAGGTTTTTTTTCAATTCTGGTACAGCCTATTTCTTTGATAAAGCCACCTAATCAGTCACTTGCAAGCTATATGTTCGGTGGTGTTTCAAGCTCACAGAGTTTCATTGCAAAGTAACATGCTGTGCCTTGTTTTGCCCTCTCCAGTGGGATATATTGAGCCTCATAATAATTCTGTGAGGCAAGGCATTGAAAAGTATATTTTCACTATACAGCTGAGGAAAACATGGTCCTAGAATCTATATAGAGGCAGATACTATATATAGTGACAGGAACCCAGGTCTCCAGGTGTTTTGGCCATAGTCTATGAAATGAATAGAACCAAAGAAAATTATTTTATGTGTATGAGTATTTTTTTCCTGCATGTATGTAAGTGTGCCCATGTGTGCAGTGCTGGAGGTGGGGGATGGGGGCAAAAGTGGACGTCAGATCCTCCGGAACTGGAGTTATAGATGATTGTTAGTTACCATGTGGGTTCTGGGAACTGAACTCAGGTCCTTTGGAAGAGCAGCCAGTGCTCTTAAACCCTAAACCATCTCTTCAGCCCCCGAATAGAATTTTTGATAACAATAATTATCATCTGACGATTGTATGTTATTGAGTATGTTAAAGCTGTAATGAAATGCTTCTTCTCAAAAAAATTTTTAAAAATATTAAAAAAATATTGTCATTATTTGCAGTCACTCTGCTAGGCTTTAACACCAGGTTTTCTTTTTTAATTTTAATTTCTTTTTAAATGATGCAATAACAAAACCCCACAAATTTTCACATATTTATTCATGTGGTGCCATGTAAGATTTCAATACGTGTGTACACTGCATGGAGTTTAGGTCAGTTTAAATATATTTATGTTCTCAAAAAAAAAAAGAATTTTTGTATTTTGACATTTGCTGCTTCATTCCAGCCTCATATCAAGCCCACGAAGAAAGGATATCAGTCTCCTCCACCATTCTGGGGTGTGAGGATGACCTGACTTACCATTTCTAAAGTCATTTTAACCTGTCTGATTATGGGTCTTCTCCTCTCATTGATCTTTGAAAGATACATTTCTTTTTATGTATATTTCATATTGAAATTTTGTGTATTTCATGCAATACGTCTTAATCATGTTTAGACTCCTTCCCATATCTGTGCCCTCCCACAGCCCACCCACTGGATAGTTCATGGATTCTGTCATATATGTGAAGGCCTAGCAAGTCAATTTTGTGTACCCAGCTGTCCCTCAGTGTGAGTCCATCCACTGGAGTCTGTTCAACCTGTCTAGTGTCTCTCCCTTAAAGAAAACCAACTTTCCCCCACCCAGCAGTGATCAGCTGCCAATAGTTCCTCAGCTAAGGTTGGGGCCTCCTGACCATTTCCCCATTTCTATGCTGGGTTTTTGTCTGAGTTTGTGTGTGTATTCTGTCACTGTTGCTGTAAGTTCATATTGGCAAGTTCCCAGAAACCTGGAAGATTATGTTTCTTTATAGCCATGCACCACCCCTGGCTCTTACAGTCTTTCTGCCCTCTCTTCAGAAATGGTCCGTGAGCCCTAAGTGAGTGAGGTTTAATATAAGAGTCCTATCCAGGGACATGTACTATGGAGCCTCTTGCTCTCTGCTTTGACCAGGTGTGTCCTTCTGTGTTCACTGCCTTCTGTTGCATGAGGAAGAATTCACTGATGAGAGTTGAGAGTTGCATTAGTGTTCTCTCAGTCCCGCATTTCACTATGTTCTGTGAACCTTAGATGCAGAGGTTCTATTGTAGATGTGTCACTTAGGGCTGGGTATGTCACAGACACTTACTCTCTGTGTGTGACCAGTTGTGGAGCTCTGTAATACTCTCCCTCTGTTGCAAAAAGAGTCTTCTTTGATGAGTGGTGACTGGTACACTTGTCTGCAAATGTAAGGATTCATATTTAGCGTACAGTAAAAAATTATGTTTGAAGGACACAATTCTTTCTGGTTCTACAGTGGTAAACATAAAACATGGTTTAAATTTTCAGTGAGTACCTTGCTGTGTCAGTATTGCTGTTGCCCTGCACTGATGATGGCCCTAAGATTCCAAAGACAATTTGGCCAAGATTACTCTGAAGCAAATTTCGTGTGCTCTGATTACCAACTTGTCTGAGTCTGATGAGACAGAATACATTGAAACACAAGTTACACAAAATAGATTTAATTACTAAGTAGCAAAGGTCAAAAGAAGCTTAGAACCCCTTGTGAGCTAGTCCCCCAAGGCTCAAGGAAGCTTCATGGGGAAGGTAGAGTCTTAACTGAGCATGTCTCACATCCACCACACCTGAGGTACTCCATAAGGCAACTCACTCTGGATTGTACACCCAGAGGGTCACATAAACACACTGACCTAAAGCTTTGACAGGCATCCTGCTTTCAGAGGGGCAAAGCCCAGGCTGTTCTGGAAGGAACAGGAATAAGGGCTGGGTCACGTGAGACACTTCCTCCCTAACTCAGGATGTGACAATCTCCACACATTCTACAGTTTATTCTTGAGAACTACCAACTAGGAGAACTGGGTCAGTCCAAGGACAGCCAGAGAATTTTTCTGCAGTTACATAGTAAGTCAGTGTTGGCCTAAAACTCAAGTCTTCTAATGGTCAGTCTTAGAGTTTATCTTAATATATTGTATTTCTTTTTATATGTGTAGTCTGAGATACTTTTGGGCCAACTGTCCTTTGGTTATAACTAGTAAGCAGATTTTCAAATTCTGTGGTACTTCTGAAACACCAACATACCTTATAAAATTATTCTGAGAGCAACTGAGATTATCAAAAGCTTCCACCACTTCATGTCAATGTTTCATTAAACTTTCAGTGGGAAAATCACTCATGCTCTTTGTACAAACTTGCATAGGTTGCATCTTTTCTCGTGTGGTCTTATGAAAACATCTGTCTCTGGAGATCTTGCTCTGTCTCACATACTGTCCCCCGTTTCCTCCTCCTTTCCTCTCTCTTCATGGGAACCTAACTGCTAGAAGGTGGATATAGGGACAAGGTTTGTTTTTGCTTTTCTTGTGGTTTTAAAAAATTCTGCCAAATGAAGTTTTCACAAAGCAGCCCGGGGCTGCACTGAGCTATCTCATCCATTCTGACCCATACTGGAAACTAGCCTCTGAAGTTCCCTCTGTTCTGCCATAGGGGAATGAAAAGTGCCTTGCATCATGCATGGTATGTTGGGTTCTGCTTATCAAAACACTTTCTTCCTTCCATCAGGGACAGGGGTGTAGATGCATCTCACTGTGTTATACGCATTTCCTACTGAGCACAATCTTCCAGCATTAGGAGGGCCATTTAAAATGTGGCATGTGTGTTATACATGCTTTTTAAAAAATAAAAATTTAGAAAATTTAGAATCTTCTTTCCCCAAAAGAAAAAAAAAGTAAATTCCATCTCCTAGTGCTATCACTGTATTTTTATAACCCTGTTCTTGTTTGTATATCTTGTCTCTTCCTTCTTTCCTTGCTGTCTTTCTCTCTCTCTCCCTTTCTTTCTTTCTTTCTTTCTTTCTTTCTTGCTTTCTTTCTTTCTTTCTTGCTTTCTTTCTTTCTTTCTTGCTTTCTTTCTTTCTTTCTTGCTTTCTTTCTTTCTTTCTTGCTTTCTTTCTTTCTTTCTTGCTTTCTTTCTTTCTTTCTTGCTTTCTTTCTTTCTTTCTTGCTTTCTTTCTTTCTTTCTTGCTTTCTTTCTTTCTTTCTTGCTTTCTTTCTTTCTTTCTTGCTTTCTTTCTTTCTTTCTTGCTTTCTTTCTTTCTTTCTTGCTTTCTTTCTTTCTTTCTTGCTTTC